AAACACGGTCAGGTCTGGAAAATGAGTGGCCCATCTGTTGCCCCGTTACAATCGTAAATTCTGCCTATTTTCACAAACGTATATAAAAAAGTAACCCATGCTGACATGCCCGGGACCCAGGACCCAGGACCCAGGACGGAACTTTGTTCAGTGCTTTTAACTGCTCAGCAGAACCCGCGTGGAGACCGACCCAGATCCTCCCCGAGAGGACTGTGCCCAGAGGGAGCGGCACCGGAGAGCTCTGGACCCTCTCCAGGCTCCGAAGTGCTGGCAGGGAGCGGCTGGGCCCTTGGCGACGCCCCAGGGGCCTGCGAGAATTACTGTAGCTTCCTCAAGTGACTCCCTCACTCCCGGGGGCTGGTCTGGGCTCGGAGAAAATCTGCCTCCCTGACGACTTGTGATCTAGTAACGGGGCAATGATGGACTCCTGCTAACTGGAAGGTGTGCTTCCCCTCTCTGGCAGAGACCTGTGTCTTTGGGGGCAAAGGTTACTCGGTGTATTTGTGTGTGTGCCTTGGTGGGTGGGGGGGGGTACCGCTGCTTTGAACCTGAATCAACCCATCCCCTCTGCCACTCAGTGGCTGTAAAATCTCCCACGAGCCTCAGGCCCCGTCTCAGTTTCCGGTCTCTTCTAGATCTGAAAAATCTGTGGTTTCTAGGCAAGGATTATCATTTGATGCAAACGTGCTGTTTGGAAAGCTACCAGCTTCACAGGATTAATTTCATCTTCCCCAGGTCACTATTTTGGATGGAGGTCAGAGTGGTCCCTTAAGGCACACAGGAGAACAAAACCACTGGCTTATACCCGTCCCCTCTCCTTTTCCCCGGTCATCGCCCAGTCTGAAACAGCACGGTTTCTAGGAGTATATTTGCTGTTGTTTTTATTTTTTTATTTTTTGCTGTTTATGTGCTGTTTTTCAAGATGTGAATCTGGGGGCAGTAATTTCCTCCTGCCCATTCCAGTATTTGAGTGGGAAGCAAACTCTTTTTTGCACCTTGTAAATATGTAGAAAAACAAAACAACCCACCAAATTTCCTCTGGCCCTTCTGAGCCCTTAAATAGTAAACATGTGAAATCTGTGTTCCTTCTTTTATCCGCGGGGAGAGTGTAGCTTGTCCTGGGAGAGGGAGCGAGGGGTCACTTGCAAAACTGCCTTATCCTGTTACCCTCCGGGAGCAGATACGGGACTTTTCATCTTGGGGTTGAAGAGGTGCAGGCAACCTGCCCTCCAAGTCTCTCTCTTCGTGGCTCATTGGTGGTGACGTTAACAAGACAAAGACACACGTTTAAAAGGGCACATTCGTCTCCACAAATGATATTTTAAAACCACAACTTTTTCAAGAAGAGGGTGCGAGGCCTGGGCTACAGGCTTTGGGGGTGACTCGGAGGCCAGGCCAGGAGGGAGAGGCCTTTGCCAGATGTTCCCAGCGGCGGCAGGTAGACAGCGCCCAGTGGACGGCCCGCAAAACCCTCCCCAGAGCAATGAGTCTTGGACTGCTGGTCACAGACCTCATTAGTGGGTCGTGAAATCAATTTAGTGGGTCATGACTGGAAATTTTTAAAAAACTTGAAATAAATTAAACTAAAGCAGAATAGAATAGGAACTATCGGAGTGCACGGCGTGAACAAGGTCAGGTACCGTCTGGCGGAGCTGTGGTTCAGGGGGTGTGTGTGCGTGCGTGTGTGTGGTGTTTGGGTAGAATTTATTTCTTACTGCAGGTCTTGGTGGAAAAGTTTGAAAGCCTGTGCCCTGGAGAAACACACGCCAACACACAAGTCTCGGTGCTGCCTTCGAATGCCTTGGCCTGGTTTTCGCAGGGTAAACTTATCAACAAAGGAAAAGGAATTCTTCCAAAGCAAATGGTCACCTCACAACTCTACATTTAAACGGTCCCTAGGTTATTCTGAATTCCACTTTTCCTTCTCTGAAAAATACTTACACGGAATCACTCTCTCCGCCGAAGCCCAAACTGTGAAGTGGTCCAGTCTGTCCTTCTTTCCCCTGGGGCACCTCCCGCCCCTCATCGGGGCCCCCAGGGTATCCTCGTTCCTTCTCCAAAGCAGATGCTCATGCAAGACCGACAAATGCATTAACCAACCGCATAAACGCTGACGATGCGCTGATAGGTCCCGTTCCCAAAGGCAGTTATATTTTAGCCAAATATGAAATCACATGCCCTATAAAAGAATCTCATACAATTTAACTACAGGGAAAGGAAAAGAGACACTTGGAGAGAATGCTTTCCTAGCACCCTCAGAGTCTTACCTGTGGCTCTGTACTGATTTCATAACCTTTTCTGTTTTTACATTTTCTATGCATTTGTCTTTTTTGGAGGGAGAGGGTTGTGATTAGATTTATCTTTTCTTTTTTTTTTTAATGGAGGTACTGGGGATTGAACCCAAGACCCTGTGAATGCTAAGCCCTGCTCTATGCCTGAGCTACACCCTCCCCCACCCCGTCATTTGTGGAACAACTTCAGCGGTCTTTTTTTTTTTTCCAATAGACATTAATGACGTTGTTTTATCATAAAATCTCTGAGAGAACATATTTTGCCTTACTCAACTTTGTATCTATCTTACAGCCAACTGACTGCCTGGCAAATTTTAAGTCCTCAACTGGCAGCAGTTAACGACTATTAGACAATTTTACTACTCTGTATAACACACGTGGTGAGGTTGTAACACATGGCGAACTATTAAGAGGTGCCAGCCCCAGTGTTCACAGCAGCACTATTTATAACAGCCAAGACATGGAAACAGCCTAAGCGTCCACTGACAGACGACTGGATAGAGAGGTCATGGTGTATTTATACAATGGAATACTACTCAGCTATAAAAAATGATAAAATAATGCCATTTGCAGCAACACAGATGGCTCTGGAGAATGTCATTCCAAGTGAAGTAAGCCAGAAGGAGAAAGAAAAACACCATATGATATCACTCATATGTGGAATCTAAAAACAAAAGACAAATGAACTTATATGTAAAACAGAAACAGACTCACAGACATAGAATACAGACTTGTGGCTGCCGGAGGGATGGAAGGTCTAAACTAGGAGTTCAAGATTTGCAGATACTGACTGGTATACATAGAATAGAAAAACAAGTTTATACTGTAGAGCACAGGGAACTATATTTAATATCTTGTAATAGCTCAGAGTGAAAAAGAATTTGAAAACGAATATATCTATATTCATGTATGACTGAAGAATTGTGCTGCACACCAGAAATTGACACAACTGACTATACCTCAATTAAAAAAAAAAGAGTACAGGTGCCTGTTTTTTTCCTGAATGTAAGAGTATTGCAGAAAGCTTCCACACACTTATCCTGAAACATTAACAACAATGTTAAAATAGCACTGACCTGCCCAGCATATTACACATGCCAGGCTCCCGGATGAGATGCTTTGCCCCCATAGTTTCCTTTATTCCTCAAAAAATGTCCTCAATAGAAGTATTTATCCCCCATATGCCCCCAGCTCCCCACAAACACCCCACGAAGCTGAGAAAACTGAGGCTCAGAGACTGCCCGCCTGCGCAGTTATTAAACAGCAAAGATCGGATCCGAATCAGCCCCTCTGACTCTGAGGTCGTGCTTTCCCACCCGTAGGTCCCCTGTCGGTTGGGTCTAAAATGATCACCTTCATCTTCAAATCCCGCACCTGTTCTCTCCAGGACAAAGCTGTGAGCCTAACAGCAGCAGCACAGCTTTGTCGGCTTTGTTTTCAGTGACCGGCGCCCGAATGTCCCGGAGGCCGCCCACACTCAGGCCTGGCCTGACGGCTAAGGCAGTAGACTCTGCTGGCCTCCCATCATCTCCACGGTGGGCCGTCCTTCCACGCAGGACAAAGGCCCAGAGAGCAGGGCTGCACCGCCTGCAGGCCTCACAGCGGGCTGGTGGGGGCCTAGTGACTGATCAGGATCCATTCAGGTAACTTCTGCTTCCGTGACAAATCACAGTGCAGAGTGAAGTCGGCCATGGAAAGCACTGGTTCCATTTGCACCTGGCTTCCAGTCCCCAGCCAGTCCACACACACTGCTTTAAACAGAGACCTTTACATCAGAAGTCTGCTGTGCACTGTCCTCTGGGGTTCTTACATCTCCCCCAACAGTAAAAGGAAGAAGCTGATTTGGGAACAGGTAAGACTTCGACATCAAATCCAGGATTCATTTTTGTTTTTTAAAATCGAGAACGAAACCACTGACCACCGAGTGCGGCCTGCTGGTGATTCTCAGATCCCGAACTTCTCTATAACTTCCCCATATTAATTCAGTCTTAAGTTTCAGGAAATAAAATAATTACGGAGTTAAACACAGATCTTGTACAAACAAGTACTGTGTTTACAATGTACCAATCCATTAAAATCAGCGACAGGCATAGATTATGAGCACTAAAACGCAGCCAGGCAGACCAGCTCTCACCGGCGGCCCCCCCACCCCATCCGATGACGGTAAACATCCTATTGGAATCTGCTCCCAAAACAAAGGCTTTCCAGAACTAACTAACTAACGTCAAGATAAACAGGTAGTAAATACCGACTGCATGCTACTAACCACTGGTATCATTTGCATTCTTTAGCGTCTAAACACAAGGAAAGGTTGGCATTCTTTTCTCCTAAACTGGCACCACTCTAATCTAGCTCTTAATTTGGTATTTTTTTAAAGTTTACTAGGTGCTGTTTCACTCTGGCTTAAATTTTTTCGATAAGCCACCAAGGTGAGGGGAGTCAGTAAAGACATTCGGCTATTCAGAAAAAAACAGCCTACTCAGTTTCCTCCATTTTACACTTAACGCCACACCCCCACATGGAGAACTCTGTAGATAAAAGCCCCAGAAAGTGAGGCTGCCGCGGTCCTGAGGTCAAGGGCGCAAGACATCACACGAAGGAAAGGAAGGAAAGTGGGTTTTCAGGTCCACGGCCGAACCCCGCGGCGCAGGCGCGGCGCCCT